CTCAAAATTGGGAACAGGAAGGAGGGAGAGATGGTTCTGGTTTTTATTATTTGTGAGATTCATCCATGTTGTCTCATATACAGTATTAGGAAAAGTGTGTGTGTGTGAGAGAGAGAGGAGAGAGAGAGAGGAAGGGAGAGAGGGGGAGAGAGAGAGAGAGAGAGAGAGAATGAATAAGGGTGTCTGAGTTGGGCTCGGTGGCTCAATCCCAGGCTTTGGGAGGCTGAGGTGAGTGGATTGCCTGAGCCCGCGGGTTTGAGACCCTCCTGGGCAACTTGGCAAGACCTCATCACTACAATAAATCAAAAATTAGCCAGGCATGGTAGCGTGCACCTGTAGTTCCAGCTACTTGGAAGGCTGAAGCAGAAGAATCCCTGGAGCCCAGCAAGTCAAGGGTGTGGTGGCTGGGAGCAGCCACTGCACTCCAGTCTGGGCGACAGAGTGAGACTCCAACTCAAAAAAAAAACAAAACAAAAAAAAAACGGTGTCTGATCCTAATCCAGGTGAACTGAGGTCCAATGGAGGGCCCAAATTTCACCTTTATATAAACCACTTATGTGCCCAATTCTGACTTGTAACCTCGTCTTTAAAGCTAATAATAATAATAAAAGAGAGAGAAGAGATGGGTTTCATGAAGTTACATAAATTCTAGTTCCAGGAAAACATAGCATAATCAATGCTTCTTTAACTGTATAATTAAAATAAGTATCAAGACTTCCATACACAAAAATATTTCATGTTAAAAGAGAAGGAGAAACAATTTATACTTGCCTAGAATGGGTGATTCAATTTCTCTATTAAGGCACATTGAATCATTTCCACAAACTAGGCTGGGCCAAGTCCAATAAACACAGGCCATTGTTAACCCTCCTCTCACCACAGAAAATTAAAATAAGGAAAATTTAAGCTGTGCTACACAAAACCTGACAAAAGGCCAATGCTCAAAATAAAAGCATATTATTACTTTCATTTTTTAAATGGAAAAACAGATGTCTAGCTGATTTTTTTTCTTTTTTCTTTTTAGTCAGTGTGTCATTCTTTCACTCAGGCTGTAGTGCAGTGGCACAATCATGGCTCACCGCAGCCTCAACCTCCTGGGCTCAGGCAATCAATCCTTCCGCCTCAGCTTCCTAAGTAGCTGAGACTACAGGTGTGGGCCACCACAACCGGCTAATAATTTATTTTTTGTAGAGACAGTTCTCCAGGCTGGTTTCGATCTCCTTGGCTCAAGCAATCCTCCCAACGTGCTGGGATTACAGGTGTGAGCCACTCTGCCCAGTCAAGTTGAAATTTGTAAAAGTCTTAGTAGCTACACTAAGTAGCAACCATGCACTTGCATTTCCCATACAGAGTAGGAATGAAGGCTGCCCCATGATATTTTTAGCCTGTGGTTACTGACTGCCTCACTGGCCCAGCCCTCCAGCGAATTGCCGGCATAATTACTCTCCAGTGTTTACTGTAGCATGACTCCTCTGTCTGAGCACAGGAACAATGGTTTTCTCATACACCTAGGGAGTTTCCTTTAAAGACGGTGGACTGCTCCCTACATGACTTTAGGACTGAATCTTCCTACTCATTTTATTTTTATTTTCTTTCCAACAGTTATGTGTGTTTATTGCAGAAACTTCAGGAAGTGTAGATAAGCAAAAAATGAATCAAGATAAAAATCATCTAGAATATATGATTAAAACTTTTTAGTAATATGTATTTGTAATATATTTTTAGAGAGAGAGACATAGAACTCATATTTTTATTTCAAAGCTTTCTTTTTTATGTAATTTGTGGTCCATATCATTTACTCATTTAATGACCATTTATCATTTTATAATACTGACTACATTTTATCAAATAGTTTTCTTGTTGGTAGACATTTAGGTTCTTGTCAGTTTTCTTGATATTACAAACAATATTCCCATAATTATTCCTGGACACCAAAAAGTTGTGGACATCCTGGATGATACTCTTAAAATAACTGTCTAAAAGTAAAAATAAGTTAAAAATAAACAAGAGTGAGCCGACTTTATAAATTGCTGATACATATCGCCAAATTGCTTTTCTGAAAAGTTGCATCAAATCCCATACTTGTTCCCATCATAAGTAAGAGTCAAAGGAAACAATCAAAGATCTCACACACCTACAAGAAACTCAAATTGTGGTGAAGGTAAAATTCCATCAATTTCCCTAGATTTCAATTCAAGAGATTTCCTTTCTGCAGGTGGTTATTTGTAAATTTGGTAACTATGGACCATGTGTACTATTCAAGTGATTCAGATTTTTACAGTAATTTTTATTGTTTTATGTTGCCAGGTAATAATGAGGTATTTTGGTACAATCCCTGAGGGAGTTTCCAACCAAATTGAAAGACTTAGAATATTACAGACCTAGAGTGTAGGCTATAAACAGAAGTTAACAAGGGAGTATGGTAACTTGTGCAAGCTGCTTCCTCTGGGCAATGGCATCGTCTACTATTAAAGAATTTACAGGCCAGGCGCAGTGGCTCACGCCTATAATTCCAGCACTTTGGAGGCGGAGGCAAGAAGACTGCCTGAGCCCAAGGGTTCGCGACCAGCCTGAGCAACGTAGCAAGGCCTGTCTCTATCATAAAATTTTTAAAATAGCCCTGCATAGGGACGCACACCTGTAGTTTCAGCTCTTTGGAAGGATCGCCTGAGCCCAGCAGGTCAAGGCTGTGGTGGCCGTGAGTGTGCCACTGCATCTCAGCCTGGGCGACAGAGTGAGACTCCAACTCAAAAAAAAAAAAAGAATGTACAAGCGAGGGGAAACTTTGAGTCACTCAAATTCAGGCTCTGAGCTAGAGATGACCTAGGGTCACAGGGGCCTGCCAAAGCCCTCGTTAGGTGGGTGGAGTATCTGAAAATCAGTGTGGAACAGTAGGCGGGACTGGCAGAGGAGGCAGATGGGGCGAAGGAGAGGAGGAGGGAAGAATGGGTGTTCATGCTACATAACCCTGGGTTCAATTAACAGTTTCTTCATCTGTTAAAGATATGGCCCTGGGCAGATTACTTACCCTCACTGAGCTTTGATTCTATAAAGTAGAGAGAAGCACTACCTTTTAAGGCTGTTGAGAGATTTCAGTGGAATAATATGCGTGAAACTAATTACAATAGCTGACACATTGAGGGAACTCAGTAAATGGTTGCTGTTATTACTATACTGGTTCACAATAGTAGATTTTTAGTTTTTGAGTCGGGGTCTCACTTTGTTGCCTAGGCTGGAGTGCAGTGGCATGCTCACAGTCACCACAGCCTCAACTTTCTGGGTTCAGGCAATTCTTCTGCCTCAGCCTCCTCGGGAGTTAGGACTGTAGGTGTGTACCAGCACGTCTGGCTAATTTTTTGATTCTTGTAGAGACAATATGTTTTCTCACTATATTGCCTAGGCTGGTCTCGAACTCCTGGGTTCAAGCAATCCTCCCACCTTAGCCTCCCACAGTGCTAGGATTACAGGCATGAACCTATAATGGTTAATAATTATTATTGTTATTTCCTTTAAGGATAGATTTAGGGGGGAAAATGGTGCTTATGATCAATTGTTATGACTTTTTATTGGATTCTCTAATGCAGGGGTTCTTAACCTGGTCCAAGACCTCTCAGGATACCTGCAACGGGGGGCTGAGAGAGGTGTTAAACTTGTATGAGAAAGTAAAAGTGTCATTATTTGTTACTAGCCTTTAACCAAAATTTAGTATTTCCTTTAAATATAGCTGTAGGCAACAAACTAAAGTAATATCAGCGATACTGATCATACTTCGATCTATGAGAAAAATTTACATGCATTTTCATATCGCATTTAATTTACTGAAAATATCTTAAAATATCATTTTAATTGAAATTGTATTTCAAAAGTACAGTCATACCCCACAATATCAAAATAAAAAATATTGATTAAAAAAAAAAAGTACAGTCATTCTTAGACCCACTCGTTAGAAGGCTGCTAGAATCCCTCTGACAGCCGTCTTCCTGTCTACAGATAATTGTTGGAGTGATGATGGGTTGTCTGCACTATACATTTTTTTTTTTTTTGACTTGGAGTCTCACTCTGTCGCCCAGACTGGAGTGCAGTGGCATGCTCCCGGCCACCGCAGCCTTGACCTGCTGGGCTCCAGCCATCCTTCCGCCTCAGCCTTTCAAATAGCTGGAACTACAGGCACGCGCTACCACGCCCGGCTCATTTTTTGATTTATTGTAGAGATGAGGTCTCGCCAAGTAGCCCAGGCGGGTCTTGAGCCAGTGGGCTCAGGCAATTCACTCACCTCAGTCCCCCAAAGCACGAGATTACAGGCTAAGCCACTGAGCCCGGCTTGCGCTATAGATTTTAAAAATATTTCCAACTACATCATACATTTTAAAAATATTTTCAACTACACTATACATTTTTAAAATATTTTCATAAAATATTTTAATACATTGACTTTTACTTTGTAATTCGATTTGCTTTTTGTATGTATAAACATTATTCTTAGAAGGAGTCTGTAGGCTTCACCCACCTGCCAGAGGGATTGTGGCACAAAAAAGTTAGCACCTTCTGTCGGGAGTCACAGTAGGACACCTTGCCTACTGAGAAGCTTGGCCGTCCAACAGCCAGTGATGCTTCTTTATTTTTGTCTGTTGCTTTGTCTTTGTTCATATGACCAATGAATACCAAAAGCAGAACATTTCTGTAGATAATTCCCAACAGGTCAAGGGATCCTGTCACTTGAAAGAACCTAACAGTAAGAAAACATCTGTTACCTTCCCAGGGAGTCTGATGCCTGGAGCACCCAGAAGAAAAAAAAGTTACCTAATTGGGGTGATGATCCCAAGGGATGGCGTAGCAGTGATAATTATAGATTGCAGAGGAGGGAGAGGATGAGGGAGAGAAAGCAAAATAATGGAATCAGAAGACATGAAGCCCTTAGCAACAGGGCTACCGAACCAGTAGACTGGAAAAAAAAAAAAGAGAAAAAAGAACTTTAAGGACAATGAAATGAAACAACAATAACAAGATGATAGCGAACACTTTATTTTGTCATAAACAAGTGCTGTTTAGGGTATTTCCCTGTGGTCCCCCACCATTATTCCCCCACCCTCCATTTTTCCATGACGCTGATCAACTGCTTTATTCCGTTTCCCATCTTTCTTCTTGTTCAGTTAGCTGCTCCCTTTTTAAACACGTGACCCTTAATGCTTGTCTTGGGAGGACATAAAGCTTTCCACATATTAAACAAAATGTAGGATCTGGTAGTACTCACAGCTACTATCAATATTCTAAGTTTTGACTCATTCATTTGAACTGAAACATTCTCAGTCAGTCCTCCCACCCTAAAAAAGTTTTGGTCTCTCACAGAACACAAGGGAGTTCAAAATGTCACTTGCTAGGGAAACATCATATAAACAGTGAAAAAAACACATCTTTTGAGATCGTTGGATTTTCTCTTTCTTGGTCTTAAAAAAAGCAACTAGACATCATCCATTAAAAAACACATGCACATATATATATATACACAATAGTAATGGGAATGCAATTTTTATCCAAAACATTGTAGAGTTTATCTCAGATGTTCTGAGGACCATCACTTGGTCTGTAAATTACCTCCAGAGGGTGGTTTGTTTTTTCATTCCTTAAAAAAAGTTTGTTTGCTAAGTTCAAACACTGACATCGTATGGAGAAGTCAGTCTATTTAGACCTTTATAAAAGTAGAATATATGGAGTATGTTACACTAGTACAAAGTTTTACAAATTAATACAAGTAAAATATATAAATTACAATGAAATAGAGGAAGACCGCGGTTCTGGCTTCGTTCAGGTGGTTCTTTTAGCAGTCATATTGCTGTAAAGAAAATAAAATTAGATTACGATTAGGATAAATAACAATGACACTTTAATTCTTTAAATTCTTGTTTTAAACAAACATAAAGCAGACTGATCTCAACTTCAGCAAAGTTTTAGTCAACCATACACAAGGGCCTAGACAAACACTCACAAGACGTTTCCTAAACAAAACCAGATCCCTTATCCTACCTGAGTAAACGGGTCTATGGAAATGACAGGATCCTGACGCTGGATTGACCTTGAGTATGTTTGTGTGGGGTTTTCATCTTTAGTGATTTCAAAGATAATGCCATGGGAGTTTCATACTAGTGTGGACTTGGTATGGGTAAACTTTCAAATCAAATGCTGCCAAGTTATAGACTTTTCTACGTTAAAAGTCCTGCCTTTTGAAAGTGTCTTTTGTCCAGTACACAAAGGTCCAGATCTTCCCTGCAGTGTCTAGGCAGAAGCCATCCCTACAGGGCTGAGAAACCCAGGGAGTGTATTTTCTCCCCCAGCTCACAGAAGAGTGTCACTCTCTGCCAAATCACTTCAGCCATTTTGGTCACTGGCTTTTTATGCCTGTCCCCAAAATGAATCAGCACTGCAGTCCAGTGAGGATTCGGTTTGAACACTGCCTTGTATGAAATTCAAGGCTAAAGATAGACTGCATTACAGTAACCCCAAGAGGATTCCTTTCTGCTTTTCCCATTTTGCCTGAAAACAACTCCATACTGGAGGTTTCCCACTCCGTTGTTATCTTGGAAATTTGGCAGGCTCCCAAATAAATTATTAATCTTGCTGTACTTGCCTGATAAGGAAAACCAGATTTTTATTTTAGGTTCCCCTAAAAAATTATAGAAAGTTTTCATTATTTACGAAGTTCCATTTATCAGCAAAGTTTTTCATGGTGGCAATGGACTTTTAGTTTTCATTAGGGTTTTGTCTTATTTTGAAAGTCACTTGGAGTAACTGGTTAGGAAAACATAAATTAGAGAAGTTTCTGTTTACCTAATCTTGTTCCACAGAATAATACATAAAATAACCTCCCCACCCCCACAAACCAGGACCAAAGATGAACTTCCATCAATTCAGTAATATATAGCTTTTAGGAGGATATAGAAACAAGAACTTTCCCCACTACAAATGCATATTTCTCTCCTAAATCATATCCCCAGGAAACAAGTGCTTCCTGGTTTTCTTCCACAGTGAAAGGCTTTTCATGAGCTGCTGTTCAAAGGCTACCGGTGATTCTCCATACTTAGCTGTTTAAGCATTTTTGCAACTCCTTATTGGGAGGGAATTACAGAAAATTCAACAGAACAGCAAGCATGGCATACAGGTTAAAAGCAGGAGTTTTTTGCATAAAATGACCCAAGGTTTGAAGCCTGTTGCTTCCTGACTAGGTGATCTTAGACATATTGCTCAATCTCTGAGTCATAGTCTGATCTGTATAATGGGTTCAGCACAGTGCCTGATGCAATTAGTGTTGGCTATTACTTGTGTATATGAGTTGGGACATAAGAGCAAACAGAGAGGACATCTCTTTTGTGTCTCTGCAGCCAGAGCAGGGACAGCGAGGGGCCACTGGAGGGAATACCCTGTCTATGGGCAGCGTGTTCCTATGCACACAGTCACCTACAAAGAACCAAGACAAGCCAGTGATTGTGAGATTCAAGGAAGCTAGGCCAGGTGTGGTGGCTCATGCCTGTTATCCCAGCACCTTGGGAGGCCACAGGAGGATTGCTTGAGCCTAGGAGTTCACCAAGGCAACATAGTGAGACCTCATCTCTACAAAGAAAAAAAAATTAGCAGGGTATGGCGGTGTGTACCGGTAGTCCCACTATTTGGGAGGCTGAGGCAGAAGATCAAAGCTGCAGTGAGCCCTAATTGTGCCACTGCACTTCAGCCTGGGTGACACAGAGGGAGACCCTATCTCAAAAAAAAAAAAGATTCAAGGAACCTTATGACTGAGAACTAAACTGAATGTTCTAGACGTGTTACCACAAGGATGACATAAGAGTAAATACCAGTAGGTTAAGCCTGTTTGGTTTTGCCTTTTTCTCTATGGTGAAAACAATGGTGCCTTATGGTAATTGAGAACACGAGGGCCAGGTTATGAGCTTTTCACACAGGTCTTACCTGTTGACGAGAGCAGCAATAGCCACATATGCCCCCAAGCACTCCGTTGATTACTTGAATGAGACACAAGATGAATTCAACCCCACCAAGAGCCAAGAGGATAGAAAAAAGAGTCACGTTCCATTCCACAATGTGCTGGGGTTCAATGCACTGGGACCATGTGGCAGTATCCAGAAGGTACCTGTGCATAAAAGGAGAAACATCTTGACACATGACCATACCTAAGGGGATATTTAACAAGCTACTTTTTTGTGTGACTGTTTTCATTCAGAGAAGAAAAAAAAAAAGAGTTCATTCAACATCCTGTATAAGAAGCTTCCAATGCATGTTATTTCACAAAATAGAGGAATTTAGCCCAGATCTTGTTGCAGTGATATACATGAAATTATAACTGATCACTTTTGACTCCTAACCTAGGATCCTGAGGTTAGTTAGAAATCTTTGCCTTATAATGATGTTTATATTCTCTAAGGACATATGAACTCTTGTAAACAGAAATAAGTAATGTATACTAAATGCAGATGTCGAAAGATGAAAGTGATTCATGTGTTAAGATAGTGGAATTATAGGTGACTTTTTTGACACCGTTTTCCAATTTTACTGTTGTTTAATTGTTATCTTCATAAAGCTAGGACTTTGTAGCCAATATTGAGTGAATCTTTGTTTAGAAACTATGATCTTGTTATATTAGTTTTTTGCAAGCTTTAAAATATCAATTTAGAGCATTTCATTAACACTCAGTTTATGCCAGGCACAGTGATTCATGCCTGTCATCCCAGCACTTTGGTTGGCCAAGGTGGGAGGATTGCTTGAACCTAGGAGTTCAAGACCAGCCTGGGCAACATAGTGAGATCTCATCTCTACAAAAAATCAAAAGATTACCCAGGCATGGTGGTGCACACTTGTAGCTTCAGCTACTCGGGTGGACGAGGTGGGGGGATCACCTGAACCTAGGAGGTCGAGGCTACCACGAGCCATGATCATCATGATCATGCCACTGTACTCCAGCCTGGGCGACAGAGTGAGACCCTGACTCAAAAACAAAACCAAAAAACAACAACAACAAAAACTCAATTTGTTCCATTTGAAAATTATCCAAATTCTGGCAAGTCTGGAGATTTAATTTACTATAGTTTTTCAATCAAGACCTTTTAAACAAAGTTAGGCTTTGCTTTTAAGGAAAAAGTTAATTTGCAACATAAAGCATGGGAATTCAATTCAACTAATTTGATACCTCTTTGCTTTCATGATGCTGCACCCACACATCTATAATAGCAAGCAGCACACTGCATTTACTCATTCAACAAAGACAGCTGAGCACTCCATGTGAGTTAGACACGGTGCCAGAGCTGGGGATATAAGGCTGGAGAGGGCCTGAGCTCTGTCCTAGAAGAGCATAGCATCCGAGGGAAGAGACAAGTCACAAACAATTGAACACTGATTGGGTCAATAAAGTGTGAAAAAGCCACAGAGGAAAGACACCTGACATAAGCCGGAAGAATACCTGCTTATGTGTCTATTCAACATGGCTGAGGTCCATGCAGGTAGAAACCAGACCTATCCATCATTGTAGAGCCAGCTGCTAGAACAGACTCTGGCGCTTAGTAGGCTCTCGGCACACTTTAAAAGTAGTTGAATAATAAATAACAACCCAAAGTCACTTCGTGAAATGTCAGCAACCTGTGCTGAGGTCATATCTGACTGTAGATGTATATGATTTAGGAGACTTCTAAATTCCTCCCAGTCTGAAAAGTTCTACCTCTGATTACTCTCCTAGAATGTGAGCCTTTGCTACATTAGAGTGCTTGAATTCTTAATGAAAGAGGATTCAATCATGTGGGAAAATCAAGGCCTGACTTCATTCCACAAAGAGGTCTGGTATAATTCTTTTTCTTATCACCCGTTCCTGGCACAGCAGAACAAAGGGGCTTGGAATTAGAGACCTGGCTTTGGAATGGTTCATTGAGCCAACCAGAGATTCAATTTGCTGATTTAAAAAAAAAAAAAATTGTTTTTCTGGCCCTTTCTTTCTGTATGACTGTAGGACAAAAATCTGTATTTTCAGGTCACAATGTAAAAAAATCCTTTGGCTCCACTTGGCTATTGGAACTAACCAGTGGCTTGTGACTGTTATTCCTCATATGGCAATTCTTGGATAGTTTCAAATGAGGAACAATGTAGAAGAGGAAAGTTTCTTGTAAAGACTGGGGTGGATGCTGGGAGGAGCAAATGTCAGTTATTTAAAACAAAACAAAAAAAAGCCCTGAGTGACATTCCCACCTCTCCCTGCATTCCAGTGGCATAAGGCATGACTGAAATTAGAGGTAGCTTCCTACAATAGTTTTGTGCATTGGTGCATACATGAATAGCCATTTTCTAGTAGTTGAAAAAAGACGAATCGTGATTGATAACAAGTTTGAACACCAAAACTCCAAACTCCTGTAACTACCAATTTTCCTTCAAAGGCTGCCATTGGGTTATGGTCGTTGTAAGCTAATAGATAATATTAACACACATGCCCATCAAAAGTGGACTGGATAAAGAAAATGTGGTACATGTACACAATGGAATGCTACACAACCCTAAAGAAGAACAAAATCATGTCCTCTGCAGCAACAAGGATGTAGTTGGAGACCATTATCCTAAGTGAACTATCACAGAAACAAAAAACTGAATACCACATATTCCCACTCATAAGCAGGCCCTGATCACTGGTCACATGAGCACAAAGGCGGGAACAACAGATACTGGACATTGCTAAAGGAAGGATAGAGGGAGAAGTGAAATGGAGCATGCAACCACACACTGGGTATCAGGTCCACTGTCGGAAAGAAAGGGCTCGCTAGAAGTCCAAAACTCACCTGCATGCAATTTACTTATATAGTAAATCCTCACATGTATCCTACAACTCTAGAATAAATAAATAAGGCCGTAGGGGGAAAAATTAATAGCTAACAGGGGCAGAGTTCATGATATGTTAGCCTCTGTTGGGAGCCTTTAACATGTTCTCTTGTTAATTCCCATGATAACTATCATTGGTTTTATTTTACGGATGAAGTACCTGAGAATCAAAGAAGTCATTTCACTTTTTCCTGAACTCAAAGGGTAAGTGCAGAGCTTGGATTAAACCCAGGTCTGCCTAATTCCAAGTTCACTATCTCATGAATATTCATAGATTCATAAAACTTCGTGCTTATGAAATCCATAGGGACAAACACTCTTGATAATATAAGGGCAGTTCACATTTATTATTAGTATTATTTTTATATATATCTCAAGATGAAACCTTCCAAAATTCCACTTTAGGAAGTTGAGTGGGAGAAAAGGTCAACTCAGAATCAACTCCTGCTTGGAGAAGCATGGCATTCCTTCATCACCACGTACCTCAGTTTCTACCAGTTTTCCTATTTCTCTTCTTTTCTCAATAACTGATAAGAAATGAATATCAACATAAAACAGTGGAAAATCTTAAATTATCCTGATGTAACTGTTGTAAGATTGTGAGTAACTTTAAATAAAGGATGTGTTGTACACAGTTCTTATATTATGCATGAGCATGTGTGTATGTGGGCGGGGGCACAACTTGCCCTGGGCTTTGGTTATTTTCATATAGTTGGTTTTCTTATTATATAAGGATTCCATCATACTTGTAAAATAATAAAATGGGCCAGGAGCGGCAGCTTACACCTGTAATCCCAGCACCTTGGGAGGCTGAGGCAGGAGGATAGCTTGAGCCCAGGAGTCCGAGACCAGGCCGGACGACATAGAGAGACCTTGTCACTACAAAAACTCAAAAAATTAGCCAGGTGTAGTGGTGTGTACTTGTTGTCCCAGGTACTCAGGTGGCTGAGGTGGAAGGATTGCCCGAGCCCAGGAGGTCGAGGCTACAATAAGCAGTGATCATGCCACTGCACTCCAGCCTGGGTGAAGTGAGACCCCCAACTCAGAAAAATTAAAATAAAATAGCAAAATGTGTTACACTTAACCAGACAGCCATCCTGGTATAACACTACATGAACACAAACTCTACAGCTGACTGTCTGGGTTCAAACCCTAACTGCTACTTCCTCCCAGTGTGACCTTGGATAAGTTACTTTATCTCTCTGTGCCTTCATCTTGTCATCTGTAAAACAGGAGTAATGGTGGAAATCCTTTCTCAGGGTTATTATGAGGACTGAGTTATTGAATCTATTCAAAATCACTTAGATCTTGTCCAGGCCAGAGCCTGGTCATCCATCCTGGCACGACCATTGCCTAAACGGTGCATGAGTCAGTGCAATTAAACACTAGCTAGGTGGTAGATGGAGGGATGACTGGATGCCTGATTGGTCTGACGGGCTTGCCACTACCCACGTGGTGGATGGGGATGTGTGGCCCAGTAGGGAACAATTACGTACTGTCCCTCGGTGCTGGCGAAGGTGTAGTTCCAGTGACCGAGGGAATCGAGACATCTCGGTCCTTCCGCGAGGCCCAGGGCTGCCACAATGACGCAGTAGCCAGATCCCGCAATTCCAATGAGAGCGGCCAGCACAGAAGACAGCATCTAGAAGGAGAGACACCAGAAGTGAGCCCCAGCGTGTCGCCTTGCATATTTTTATGGCACGAAGAGTCTACATTCCCACAGGGTAGAGGACCTACCGCACATCTCTTGCCACAGTTCTCGTGGCCGCAGCAGCCACAGCAGTCGTCCTCTTCCAGCCCAATGAAGACAAAGGCCGGCAGGAGCATCTGGTTGGGAAACACACAGAGTCAAGTCACTGTCCTTCCCCAGGCTCAGATGGGTCGGGTTAGGCATCTCTTGGTAAAATATGTTTCTTTCTGACAGCGCTGACAGGCTTTGACAAGGTGAACCAAGTATTTCAAATAATGTAAAACTCCAAGGAGAAAAAAAACACCCTCCAAATGTAATTTCTGCTTGTTTACATGTAATATGTCACAGCATTCTTTTTTTTAATTTTTTTTGAGACAAGGTCTAGCTGGAGTTCAGGAGTGTGATCATATAGATTTGAATTCTTGGACTCTAGAGATTCTGCCACCTCAGCCTCCCATGTAGCTAGAACTACAGGTGCATACCACCATGCCTGGCTTTTTTTTTTTTTTTTTGGTAGAGACGGGAGCTCACTATGTTGCCCAGACTGGTCTTGAACTCCTGGCCTCAAGCAATCCTCCCACCTCAGCCAGTGTCAAAGCATTCTTTAGGGAGAGGGTGTAGTATGAGAGGAGTAAAATAATAACCTATAAATGGATTTATTCCACAAGAGTCCATCACATGGTCTCAAATGCAAACTCTTTTTTGGAACTATTAAACCTTGTCTTTAAATCCGATTCTTCCCCCTTGTGAAATGTAGATGATACCAACATATCTTTAATAGAATAACTGAAACTTTTTTGTGAATGGGAGAGATGAAAACTAAACATAATAAATATAAACTACTTATTTGAAGATACAAATGTATAGTGTCAAATTAACAATAAAGCTCTTTAAATAAGGTAAGTATGAAATACTTTAAGTGAGAGATCAAAAGAAATTTAATCAAGGGCAAAGTTATGTTAAAGACAAATGATTATGTTAACATCGTAGTAATGCTTAAATTTAAAGCAGATTTGCCATGCCATAATTACTGTATTAAGTTTAAATGTCTTAATATCTTTTGCTTGACTAAGGAAATATAATCTGTATGGGATTAACAATTCCATAAAAGTTTTCTTTAAAATTCTTAATCCCAGCATTGTAAAGTAGCAAACTTAAATCTGTCTGCATTCTTTCCATACTGTGGTTGAAGCCAGTAGTTTTAGCTCCCCGATTGGCAGGCAAATTCCTCTCACTTCAATTAAAAACAAACTTTGGAAGAAACAACACATTCCACTTTTAACTTCAGGCAACGGATCGGCTGCTAACTGTAGGATTTTTCCTAGACACCACACCCCAGCATTCCATAAAGGAGAAAGCTTACAGTTCTTTTTAAACAGCAACGCACTCACAATTCATTATTTTTCCCTGTCACAGATGCCTGAAAATAAACAGCAGAGAATTTGGATCCAAAACGGTTGATTTAGGCAGAGAACCAGGAAGCCCCGCCCAGCTCCCCCGAGCAAACGTTAAAATGACAACCTGATCCAGTATAGAAACTCTACAGTCTCGAAATCTGATTTAGAAGCCAATTATCTGTTTTCCAGCTGTAAAATAAGAGTTTAGCAAATAAAAGGTAGTTCACTTTTAGTTGAAAGAGGATTTTATAAAACATCTAATAATATGAATACACTGTGCTGTACCTATCTCAACTTTTGCATGATCTGCTGTCAAAAGATTGAACAAAAAAAGTCACTGGATTTAGAAATACACATTACAGAAAACTTTCCGTGAAAATATAGAATGAAAATATCTTAAGATATTTTCTTATCTTAAGAGGAGAGGATTGTGTTAAGGTTGTAAAACTTCTAGATGACTTACCAGCAAACCCCCTCCGATGATGCCGGCAAAGAACCACACAAAGCGACTGAGGTGGTTTTCGGTGGCATATTTCGTTTCCCCATTGGGAAAGTAAAGCAAAATATTAGCTACAATGCAGAGGACCGCCAGCCCCACCAGGGAAAGTCCGATGCATCGGGCACATCTGCCATAGCACATGGTGGCGGCGGAGGGTCTGGCAGGTCTTCCCCTTCTCTCTGTCTCTGGCTCAGCGGTACCCCAAATCAGACAAAAGTGTGCCCGTCTGCAGAGAAAGCTGAAGCAAGTCTCAGCCCATTCCTGCCACCTCTTAAATACTGCCAGTTCTTAGTCACCGAGTGGATGAAGTCCTCTGCTTTCATTGGTCCTGACTGCAGGCTCCAGTTGGGGGGGGTGGGCCGGGGGAATGTCCCGCCCTCCAGATGAAATCCTTGGGTCAGGCGAAACCAGGGGCAGGACAAGAGAAACAGCCTCAGTTATAGGCAACAGGGAAAATGATTAATCCCGAACAAGGCATGCAGTGTGCAACTCTTTCCCCGGCTGAAGCATCGACAGGAAGGTCTAACATGACTTTCCAGTAACTGGTGTTACTGTCCACGGTGCGACCGCCTGGCTGCAGGCTCTAAAGACAGAGGCTGGGGTCCATGCAGCTGTCTGGACGGCTTCCAGCCCAAAGGCTCTGTTCGCTTCCACCTCTGCCCTGATTTAATCTGAGACCTGAAGCAAGTCTCCTGAGCTCTGAGCTCATTTCCTGTCTGTTAAAGACAAGGGGTCCGAGGTGTCACCCACAAATTCGAGGAGGCTGTTTGAAAAATTACAGAGCAGGCTTCTTTCCTCTGCCTACAGCAAGCTCTGCAAGACAGATCTTACTGTCTGGCCTTCCTGGATATCTGCTGCCAACAGGAATCTGCACGACAACAAAGGTGGCATCAGTCAACACACAGGGCTCAGGTGCTTTGCTTTAATTACTGAGTATTGTTGTCAGGCAAACCAATGCCAGGAAGGACGAAGGAAGACCTAAAGCATGGAAAAAATATGAGGAGAAAGAAAAAGGGCAGGAGAAGGAAGATGGATGGAGAGAAAGAGAAAGGAAACGAGAAGAGAGGGAGGAAGAGAGGAAGGGAAGGAGGAGGAGAGGGAGAGGGAAAAAAACAAGAGAAAGAGACTTGGCGAGCAGAGTGGGGAAACAGGTTGGGAGATCTTGGAATGGCTAGGAGAGTCAGAACCCAATAATGAGTCACAGAGGTGAACAGGTGGTCTACTTAACCAGATCCCAAAACCAGCTTTCATAGGCTCCCCACACAAAGGCAGAGAAAGGGTGTTACATGAACTTTCTAGCACAGTTACCTTGCAGAAGGAGGGGTTGAACAATGAATAAATTTAGTCCTTGAATAGCAGGTTGCACCAGCCAGTGGATGGGGTGGGGGAGGGTGGCCAGGTAGGGTTAGGACTGGAGGAACCCTGTCACCAGGACTAGATCAAGAGCACAGAAATGAGGGGAAAGACCAAAGTGGGAGGTGTTAGTTCAGAAGAGGAAGGCAAGTGAGGCTGGTGAATCCAGAGGCTCAGGCTAAGGCCAGAGTCTGAAGGACCTGGTCCCAAACTAGAAGGCAGGACACATATTCAATCTGAGGAGGCCGGCTGTGGTTAGTGGCGTGGGATGGGCGTGGGAGGAGTGCCCAAGAGGAAGTGTGGCCTCAGTATACTATCAGGGGTGAGGCCAGAACCCACAATGGCCTGAGGAAATCAATCAGTGGAAAACAGAATGCAGGTAGGGAAACCTGTAACCACCCACCTGCTCAGGAGGAAGCAGACAAGTCCTCACGTCACTGCATCACCATCATACATTCAGCCACAGGCCACATGTGCCCTCTGCCTGACTCTGCATCCCACTTGGAAACAGGATCCTATGGGTGACAGGGCCTGGGTGGCAATACAGGCGAATGAAGCATCGTCATTCCAACTCTCCCCACCAATCTATCCCACCTGGGGCCAGCATGGGGAAAAGCAATGCTTTGATGACTTCTCCACCCTCCCAGCGCATATATTTTTCTTCTTCTCTCCCTCACCCCTATAATCAGCAGGGCAGGGAGAAGAGAGTGAGGGGCTTGGAAAGAGAAAATCTGGAGGGAGACCCCCCAACTCCCCTGTACCCTAGCTTCGTGGACTCAGGCAACTAACTCACTTACATTCTAGAACTGTTTTCCACTATGTATGTGGGACTACATCAGTGGTTCTTTTTTTTTTTTTTTGACTTATAAACAGCAGAAATTTTTTTTTCACAGTTCTGGAGGCTGGGATGTTTAAGATCAAGGTGCCAGCATAGCACACGTGGTGACTGATGAAAGCTTGCTTGCTTCCTGGTTTATAAATGACTATCTTCTCTCTATATCCTCACATGGTAGAAGGTGCAAGAGAGCTCTCCGGGGTCTCTTTTGAAAGGAGACTCATCTCTCAAACGTCCAACTCCTAATACTATCAAATTAGGAGTCATGATTTTAACATATAAACGGGGGTAGGGAGGATACAAACATTCACACTATAGAAACTAGGGTTGAAGTATTTGAGGAGGAGTGCCACAGGGAGAGCAATTTAAATTCTATGAAAGGTACATATATCAACTTGTACGTCAGGGCTTCTTAACAAGATTTTGAGAATCTTGTAATAATAAGAACCCTCTCCCCAGAAAAAGAAAGGTACATATATGCAAAGACACATTTTATTGTATTTCTGGAAGTTTACAGTCTCCCCGAAGCTCATTCGCGCGTCCTCTTCCACATTTCTCATGATGCAGCCTGTCCAGGGACCAGTCGCATCACAAATGTAGATCTTAGGTCACAACTTCAACATATGAATGGAAATTTCTAGGAGTGGGGCCCAGTAATCTACCATTTTTACAAACAAAAAACTACTTTAAAAATTTACTTATTTATTTCGGTAGAGACAAGCTCTCGTTATGTTGTCCAGGCTGATCTCAAACACCTGGGCTCAAGCAGTCCTTCCATCTCTATCTCCCAAAGGGCTGGGATTACAGGCATGAAACACGTCACCCGCCATACAAACAAAAGACTCTAAATGAGCCTTTTGTTTCCTGTAGCTTGGGAATCATTAGCCTGGTCCACAGCCGGAGCAAATATCATTTGTGTTAGATGCTCTCTGAGGCCATTCACTCACCCAATAGTGGGTACTCAAATTGTGGGGAGCACACTGCAGTTTTAAGGTTCAGTGTAAGGCAGTTTCAGGCTTGAACTGACAACATTCTCTTGTAAAATCAGTTTCTTCCCAGTGTCCACCCCTCCTGTCATTCTCCACAACACCCTTTGCTTCTATCCCTCAGCTGATCACCCAAAGACCAGCAGAAGCCAAGTCTTTTCTGGTTTGTGCTGCTGGTTTAAGACCATGTGACCAAGCTTACACCTGTAATCTCAGTACTTTGGGAGGCTGAGGTGGGAGGATCACTTGAGGCCAGGAGTTCGAGACCAGCCTAAGCAATATAGGAGACCTAGTCTCTACAAATAATAATAATAATAATAATAATAATAAAATTAGCTAGGTGTGGTGGCACTCATCTGTAGTCTCAGCAACTCAAGAGGCTAAGGCAGAAGAATCTACATACCACACGTTCTCACTTACAAGTTGGAGCTAAACTAAAGATCTGCAAAAGCATAGAGAATGATATAATGGACACTGGAGACTCAGAAGGGGGAGAGGAGAAAGGATGGAAGGACAAAAAAAATCACTTATCGGGTGCAATGTGCACAGATCGGGGTGGTGGTTGCACTTAAAACCCAGGCTTCTTTGCCACTATACAATGCAACCATATAACCAAAAACTATTTGTATCCCCTAAAGCTACTGAAATAAGTAAATAAATAGAACAAAAAACCCCGGCCCGTAAAGAGTGTCTGTTCTATCAGAAAAAGAGAGACAATTAAAAAGAATAATAAATAAGTACAATCCAGAGTGTATTCGATGGTGATAAGTGCAGAGAAGGGGACTAGGTGTGACAAGGCGGAGACCTTGCTGCTAGGGTGTATCCAAGAGAGAACAGTCACAGAATCGACCTCTTAGGGCCATGATACGATCTGCAGAAGTGAGTCACATGTGCACAGCTTGAAGTATCTGGCATTTAGCAGCCACTCAATCTCAATTAATGTTACTTAGTATTACTGCTTTCATCAGCCCACTCTTTCAGGAAAGATGTCTCTACTTTATCAGTGATTCATTGTGTTTACTTGTCTGGGATTCCGTCACTCCAGTATATATTGGATCCCTTTATCATCTTTCCTGTCCAATTTTAAAATACTGAACTTTCAGGTTGGGTGCAATGGCTCATGCCTGGAATCTCAGCACTTTGGGAGGCCGAGGCAAGAGGATTGTTTGAGTCCAGGAGTTTGAGACCAGCCTAAGTAACAGAGAGAAGCCCTGTCTCTATGAAAAATGTTTAAGAAATTAGCCAGGCATAGCAGAGCAGGCCTGTAGTCTCAGCTACTCAGGAGGTCGAGGTGGGTGGATAGTCTGAGCTCAGGAGGTCGAGGCTGCCATGAGCCATGATTGTGTCCACTGCACTCCAGCCTGGGTGACAGCATGAGACTCCTTCCAAAAAAAAAAAAAACTAACATGAGTAGTCTGTGATTCTATGTGGTTGTGGGATTCTAAGATGATTTGAACTCAAAACTCCTGCCTCTGAGTTGCATTTTTCCACATATATTTCCCTTTCCTGGGAAGGCACTAATTTCTTACTCATTTGAACATGACAAATCTAATGACTCATATGTAGTAATCGTGCTCAATAGAGCTTCTTGATTATAGTAACCAAGGCCAGTTCAACTCCCTTAACCAAAAGGCCATTAATTATGAAGTCCAAAGGTGGGATGCAGATGAGGGGATGGGACTCGTGGACAGGAGGAACCAAACTGCAGGAAATCCAGAACATCCCACTCACTGTCCATCTTGCATGTTTGACTCTTTCTATCCAAATACTTTATTCTTATTAGTGCAGGCTCATTTTTTTCTGCTTCTCGGTTCACATGAAAGAACATGACTATGGGCAGTTCTGAAGTTCATATTGTTCTCCGTTCAGGAGAGCCATCCCCAGTCCAGACTGTGAGGGAAGGGAACTACATCGGACAAGATCGGGACAGGTACCCACACCTGCGGGGCATACATAAGCATGGCTACTGGGAGCCATCTTGCATCCAAATACAAGGAGGAGAAGTCATTCTCAGGAGAATGTGAGCACAGGGCCCTGATTATCTGAAGCTATAATCAGGGCCGACAACCACAGTAAAGGGAGGTTGTGGGAGACTATACCCAGCTCATTTTACTCACAACCTCCTGGCTTTCTCTTCACTCTAGGTTGTAGCTCAATTTATTCTT